ACGGCTTCTGCATCACGGAGCTGACTCTGCTCGTGAACCGGCTCGCGGGAGCCTTTTCTCTGTACTTGAATTCGATGTCGGCCATGATCTTTTGCTCCTGGAAAATCCATTCTTGAGGAGGCGTTTCGCGCAGGAGAGCAATGTACTGGAAAAAGACGTTGACAATTTGGGGATAGACTTTCAGGCCCTGTGGTGTCAAGCTGTTAGAGAGGGCATATCTGGGGAATGCAAAACATGCATGCATAAGCTTACCTCTTCCGTCAGTCGGATCTGGACCTCAAAGACACCGGGCGTGCCGGGGCAGATCGGAGAAGCACCGGCAGAGAGACCATTGGCCCAGCCCTTGTTTTTGATATATGACATGATGCTGCCGGGTCCCTCGTGGCCAATGAGGTGAGAGCAGTATCGACCAGGCTGTGTTTCGTACAGGTGCTCCTCGTCAAGGAATGGGAAGAACAAGTGCAGCTCCCTGGTGTCCATGACTGGCTTCGCGAAGAATTGCACACCAATGTCGCTCTCGCGGAACGGAGGCTCCTCTGTCCATCTGTTGGGAGGCAGATTCTTGTTGACAATGTCGGAGAAGAACTCGACGGTCCATTTCTGGAGGACGTCAAGGGGCTCACGGCCCAGAATGACGAGCTTCATGCGATTGGCAGAGTAGTGCTTGGCATGGAACTCGATGAACTTGTCTCTGACATTGATCCCCTTGGACTCCGGGATGGTCTTGAGCACCTCCAGGTTGCCGGTAGAGAAGTGGCAGAAAGGGTGCTTCGGGTTCGACAGAGACTTGGCGAGCTGGTGGATGCGCCAGGTGTCATTCTGCAGGTTCTTCTTGTTCTCCGAGTCGACGGCCTGGAGCTCCCTGTCCAAAGTGCTGGACAAGAAGAGCGGCTCAATGAAGAACTGCGCAAAGCGGTCGAGGGCCCCGCGCAGAGGCGAGGGGTTGGCATCTGACGGATTTTGGCCATTGGCTGGCTTGGCCGCCACCTCGAAGTAGTAATTGGTCGACGTAGAGGCTGTATACGCATTGGAGTGGCCGGAGTTTGCAGACAGGTATTGGCTGTACTCGTTCTCGATGGGGAACTTTTTCGTGCCCATGAACAAGAGCTACCATTGGCAAGAGGGTTAGTCCGGCTGCTGCATCACAGGACGCGCAATTGATGGGCGAGGACGACAATTGCAGGGCGGGAGAAGGATCGTGAGAAACAAAGAGGGACCCAACCACTAGGTAGGCAATCCAACAAACAGGGGATAATCAAAGGGGACCACCGCTTACATGTTCAACTGCGTGTGCCATGCCAGGCATCTCAGCCTCGTCACTGTAGTTGCCCACGTTGACGTCAAGCGCCGCGCTGGCCTTGTCCGCCTCCGGATCGTGCGCCAGCAGAGCCTCGAGCCCGTTCTCCAGGCGGATGACCCTGTACTCGCGCTCGTCTATCGACGGCTTCTCCAGCTTGTCGGTCAGGAGCACAACCGACGATGGGCGACTGGGGCCTTGGGCCTCAGCCTTGACCGGCGCCGGCACTCGCTCCATTGCGGGGGATTTCACGAAGCGTCCAGAGTCCGACTTGCAAGCATCAACAGACGGCAGAGCGCGGGAGACGGCTTCGAACAGAGAGGCAGCTCAGCTGAAGGGCCCTGAAAGGATTGGACGGGGTAGGCGAGCTATGGGTATGGGCTGCTGGTGGTTTTTGTAGGTAAGGTAAGTGGCGGGCTGGCTGACTGATGCGAGTCCCGTTGCGGTGTGTGTGAGGCTTGTAGGTATATGCTTAGTGGGGAAGAGGCGCCACCTTGTCTATTTAGGTCGGAAGACGGCAAAATCAGCAATAGGGAGCTGGCTGCGGTTTGGTGGGATTAATGTGGTTGGATGCCGTTGGTGATGAGGCTTTCGCGTGGTCTTCAATCGGATTCAATGGTTGTTGTCGGAAGCTGCAATTGGTGGGAATCGGACCTTTCGTGGTGCAGTCGCCGAGTCTGAACGGCGAGTCGCAAAGGAGAGGAGGGAGAGGAGGGAGAGGAGGAGGAGGAGCAAGGGGAAAAGGGGGCGACAGACGCTCTTTGTCTGCTCTGACGCAAGGCGATAAGCAAGCAGGCAAGTAATCCCAAGCGGCGCTTCTGCGCTTGGATGAATGGTGCCAACGAGTTTCTGCATGTAGAAAATCAGCGCGAATGTGCGTTTAGATGGAAGAGCTGCGTGCTGATGGCGTACCTTGTCAGACGGCCGCTACGCCCTGCATGAATGCATCCAGAGTCTGCTTCGCGAGGAGTTATGAAGCTTACATGCTACCTATATATATCTACCTGACTTACACGATCCGGGAGCAGAGGGTATAGAAGGGCCTCTTTTATCCAGAGCTAGCCCACCCCTCCCTCAAGGTGCCCTCCAGCCTTCTCCCTTGAGGCGGCAAACAGCGGGATGGCTTTACTTATAATCAATGTCCGTCCTGTGGATTGCGCCGCCAAGCTGGCTGTACTACAATACATGCTCCCTGCGATGATCCGTTGCGCTCTTATTGGCCATGGTGTTGATTGCTTCACGCTCTGCTGCTTGGTTCATTGCTGTACTAGGCTGCAGATCATTTTCATCAAGCTGTTGTAGGTATTGGAGCGCTGGTTCTATGTACTAAGGAGAAGCCAATGAACCAGGATGTTGCCGCCATGATCACGAATCAAGGCCAGCAGGCCGAATGCCGCGGACGTTTGTTGGGGCCGTGCTTCGGGATGTGGTGACACAGCGTCTATTGGCTCTGCAGGGCCCGTCCTGCATCGAAGGAGAGACATGACAAGCCGCAGCACAAGGAGCCAAGCTCTGAAATGCTGCAAGGGGTGTGGGGAGCAGGAGTGATGATGCTTCCCCGTTTCGTTTCCACTCTCTTGGTTGTTTAAGCGTGGATTCGTAGTGGGTAGGTAGGTACTGCGTATGATGCTCTGCCAAAACTCCCGCCAGCCAACCAGTCATGGACAGACGACTTAATATCCCTCGCCCAGAGTCGTATGAGTACTACTCGTAAAGCTGCTACGAAAACTTGCAGATGATGACAAGAGCAGTAACAGCAGAAAGCTTGTCGTTGGCCTCAGCATGACTGCGTATGAGTCCTTGATACCAACGGACAAACATTGCCCACCCCAAACAGCCCGTGACAAACCATAGCGGCGTCCTTGTCCAACCGCAAAAGCTCTGACGGGATGCCGACGATTGCCTCGAAGCGTCTTCTGCCTGGACTCCGTTGAGAGGGGCGCGCTAAACAAATAAAAGGTCAGGGTTGCGATCTGATCTGCTTACCAGTCCTTGGGTCGGTGAGCATAGACCAAGGACCATGCATGATGAGTGCAAAGAGGCGGTTGGGTGCTTGACACGTCAACCACTCCCCTGGACTGTGAAGGTGTCACCAGTCCATCAAGGTTGTCGAGCCGAGCCAAGCAGCGGCTGTCGCCGGTCAACGCCTTACCTCTGATCAACGCGCAGCTGTTCGTCCAGTCTGCTGTGCCCGCAGCTCCACAGCCAGCGGGCAATAGTTGGGAAAAAGAGGCCGAATCAAGAGGACACTTTTGCTATATTGCGGGCAGTAAAAGGATTCGTGCTCGTTCCTCGTGATGCCGGCATTGAATCCGGCTCGAGCTGCCCAAGACTCTCGTCCGTGACACCTGATCGTGTGCTCAACTCGGTTCCCGGTTGCGCCACCGTAGCAATGTCGAGCATTGGAGACACCCAGCGTGACTGATGAGCACTGCCGATAGTCTTTGAGCAAAAGCTTGGCTGGACGCTTCATTCCTCATTAGCAGGCACTATTGACCTCATAGACAAGCGAGCGGCCTGGCTAGGCGTTGCTGTAGTGCAAAAGTCCGCGTCTCCTCCATGGATCTTGGATCGAGTACCGGAACATAGCGGGGAAGTGGGAGGCGAATTATAATGGCCGGCATAAGTGAGGCCCGGGGAAGAACGCCTAGAGCTCGTGAATGAGCTCTATAGGATTCATATGCATGTACCTAGTAGTAATATGTACGCCTTCGTGCGGGCGGCCTTGCGGCACTGGCATGCGCTCGAGGGTGGCGGCTGCGGACCATGGCTCTGGACGGACAAAGTTGTCGATATTGCCCTCCATGGTGGATTCATCCTTCGGCGAAGGATTGTTAGACCCCGCAGCAGATTTCATGCGGGGATGTAGGATTGCAAGATGAGATGTTGATTATCCCTTGTGTGATCGGCTCACAGGATTCCTCTATGTGTGATTTGTACATGTGATAGGTGGTGTAGGGACAAAACTGTCGTGCGAGGTTTGGAAGAAGGACCAATTGGGATGACATTAAGTGTTGGGCTGGAGATGAGAATGAACGCGCCACATAGAGTTCCAAGCTAATGTTCAGGCAAGCAATGGTAAAGCATCTATCATCTCGCCGTCGTATTGTGATATAATATGCATGCATGTGACAACGTAACGGCGTCGTCTCAGCCCCGCGGTTGGATCTGATATCTCTCCCACCCTGCATGAGTTTTGAGAGCCTCCGGAAACGGACGTGATATGCTCCATATCTTACCAGGCTACCTTACATCGACATCCAGAGGTACGTTCCGCTCTACAGCCTTTTTTGTATCGGTAGATTGTATATACAATTGAAAGTTATGATCGATTTCACGGAGGAAGAGAATGTCTTTGATCTAATGATATATCCTAGGTTCGTACTTTATATTTATATTATCCATGCCCGAGAAAACACCCTAGGAAAGCTCGCTGATAGTTCACTTGCGCATCTCGGAGACGGCAGCATGTCTTGGTGATTGACCAAGTACTTCTATGTGCAAATAGGTAAGAATATGATGCAAGCAGCCGAAGCAAGTTTGCCTTGCCCTATTAGCAAATCGGGTATATAAGGGGCAGGCGAGCTTTTGCATTCATGAAAAATGTATACATCCCTCCAGGGGATCGAATGCGCGAAAGTGGATCAATGAGAACGAGAGTTCACACCACAAAGTGAAGCGTCAAGGAAAGAAGCAATAGCAATCATCTCCTGGAGGAGTTCTTGGGACAGCTGGCCGCTTTATGCCCGGGTTGCTTGCAAACGTAGCAGGTCATGTTGGAGGCCGGGCTCCCAGCACCCCCAGCACCTGCAGACGATATAGAAGAAATGGTGTTGAGCCGGACTTCCTTCTTCTTCCGCTTCTCGCGGAAATCTTTGGCCTTTTTTGCTTCCTCGCTGAGTCTGGGTATCGACCGCGACTGTGAGCGGCTCGAGCTGTCTCCAGAGTCCAGACGTCTACTTTTGCGTTTCGGCTCTTCATCATCGTCGTCGTCACTAGATGATTCCTCACCTGACTGGTCGTCTTTACTAGGGCTAGGCTTCTGCTAAAGGGTCAGCCAAGCGATAAGGGGCAAGTGGTCATGTGGCGGGGAGGTGTAAACATGCCTGATCCTCGACTACTTTGGGCTTGCGCGTCGATGTCCGCCCACTCTGGGGAGCGTCTTCGCCTCCAGACTCGTTGTCTGAATCTATATCTCCGTAGCCCACATAGACAACGTTCAGCGAAGGCTCTGACGGCTTGCTAGCATTCAACTTGTCCAGCTTTGTGTTCAAAACCCAGTGCGCGCCAGTCGCAGAGTGTAGGGCCAGGGCTGCCTGTCGCTTCGCCTCTTGTTCCTCAATAGCAGCCTTGATCGAGGCCTGATCGATCAGCGCGCTGATTCGCTCTTCTGCAGCTGCGGTTGCTGAGTGCTTCAGCTTTCGCTTTTTGGACGTCTGGGAGTTTTCGTCGGGTTGTGGCGATGAAGCTGCGGATGCAACAGCTCGCTGCATGAACTTCATCGTCAGCAGCCTTGAGGAGGGCCCCTTTGGCGTGTCCGGAGCCATCCTGATGATATTTTGCCGCCTCGCGGATCTCTGGTTTCTGTTTGCTGTTCAAGAAGGCCTGGATTTGCTTCTTCGGTGGCGCGCAAGCTCTCCTTTTCGTTGATGGCTTATGATGGCTTTTGTAAACAAGAGGCGGAAAGGGAAAAAAAGTTACCTCGAGCTTGTCGATAATGCGCCTGCAGCAAGCACCAGCCCATCCCGGACAATCCTTGTTCCGGCTCATTCAACCCACCTCTAGGTATTGCTGCTCGGTTCAACCTCAACTCTCGAGAAGCGCTGCTCGGCTTCGAGTCCAGATTATTGCAACCCCATCGCAAACGTCGCAGCCATGGCCTCGTCCCAATTGCGAGCGGTTCAAGCGCTTACGCGCGGCGTGCGCGCATCGAGCCGAACATTCACGACTTCAGCCCGCCGACTCGAGGCTCAAGCTCCCGCGCCCGTTACCGGCACAAGCGACACGGCCGCTGTCCTCGAGAGCGACTCAAAAGCCATCACCCAGGCCCCCAACCGAGCCGCCATCTGGTCCCGAAGCCAGAAGCCACGAGCACTGGCTATGACTGGCCCCCGCTTCGAGCAGACCGACTTCAGCCTCCAGGTATAACCCTCGACAGGTGTTGGAATGCGAGGACAAAAGTATTGATGTGATTCTCCAGCCCCAACCGTACGCTGCGATTGAATTGGTGCACCAGGTGCCTGTCAAATGGACTCACGACAAGATTGTTTCATGCGACGGCGGCGGCGGCCCTGCTGGTCACCCCAGAATCTTTATCAACACCGACAAGCCCGAAATTGCCACTTGCAACTACTGCGGAAACCCCTTTGTATGCTAGACTGCCAAAGCACACTCTTTTGGGAGCATCGGGATCAATGCTAATCGTGTTTTAGGCTAATGAGCACCACCGAAAACACCTCGAGTCTCTGCCCGAGACTTCCTACCCTTTGAAATAGACGCACTGCAGCGGGAAGATGGGTTATTGAGTTGATGGGGATAGACAGGCCATGGGTCGACTCGCGGGATATTTTGTATTAGTCATGAAGAGCCTCAATGAAGAAAAATAAGAACTATATTGTACATATATCGGCGTTTGAAGATGCTGTAGATCATCTTGACTCTCATCACACGGTATAACACTGAAACCTAAGTAGGTACCTATACCAAGCTACCTACCTTAGGTCGACAACACAATTTCCTCTACATAGGTACACCATCGCTAGTCGTTCAATCAAATTCTTACCATGTTATCAAATCCATAATCGCCATGTCGCAATAGCCTCCAGCATCTCTTCCTCAGTCGCGGTACACGACGCTGATGTCACACAACTGCATCGTGAGGCCATCACCGGGCAAGTACTTCCCCTTCTGTACATGCAACCACTAACCCCACTAAAAGCCAGCGGCTCTCCAAGGCGGCCTGCCAAAAAAGTCCCCACCTCTTGCTCCCATAACATCACCGTGACCACAGAATGCCTCAGCAACAACTCAACGACATCACCACCATATTTCTTATCCTCCTGTTTATGCTGTCGTTGTTCCCAGACGTATTCCACTTTCTCTGGACGCTTCCTCTCAGCTACATCTTCTCAAAGTCATCTCCACCATCACCTGCAGACACCACCATTGCCACCATGTCTTGGTTCCAGAAGCAAATCACACTCCCGGCCAAGTCCCGCGGCTCGTACCTCATCACGGACCAGATCCTCTCGGCGCTGCCCGAGATTCAGGAGTACAAAGTCGGGTTGTTGAATCTTTTTGTCCAGCATACGAGCTGTGCTCTTAGCTTGAATGAGAACTGTAGGTTTCGACCTCTTCCTCGTGTTGCTATGTCGCATTGATATAAGGTTGTTTGTGGGCAATGTTTGACCTTTTTTTGGTTTTCGATAGGGGATGAGGATGTCAGAGCGGATATGAGCGATGCTCTTGACCGTATTGCGCCAGACTATGGTGCCAAGGGAGAGGCCCTCTATCGCCACGAGTAAGTGACAATGGACCTCTGGGTGGTCGAGTCTCACACTAACACCCATCTCCAACAGCGCTGAGGGTCCCGATGACATGCCGGTGAGTTGCAAACTGTTTCTGAGAAAGCCAGGAGTCTGTTGATGTCAAGCCGGATTCTAACCTTAAACAGGCTCACATCAAATCAGCCCTCATTGGCGCCAGCGTCACAATCCCGATCAAGGACGGCAAGTTGGTGAGTTGTCACAGCCCTGCGCCTCTTCACTTAATACTTGTGTGTTCATGCTAACCACCATCTAGGCTACCGGAACATGGCAGGGCATCTGGTACCTAGAGTTCAGGGCAAGCAAGCACCGGCGTAACATCATAGCAACAATCCAGGGAGACAAAGGACAGAAGGCGTGAGAAGATTCTATAGCATTGACAAGTCTGTATGGAAAATTAGACAGCCCGCAAGTTTCGAAGAGTGTGTACATTCATATAACCTATGCGCCAAACACCATCGCCATGTTTTTTTCCAACGTGCCAGCCCTCCCCGTATTAATGTGTTCCGTTCTCCTCCACCATATCTGTGTCGTCCCCAGCCAGAACCTTGGACTTGGGCACGTATCCGTCGGGGGCACCTGAACCAGGGGTCGCGGCAACCACGTCGCCATTCTCGTCGACAAACTCAAAGTTGTAGCGGCTGAGGAGATGTGGGATGGCTGACAGTTGCGGTCCGTATCGAGCGGTGTTGTCGTAGAGTTCGAACAGGGGGACGGCGAGAAGCTTCATATTCTTCGGCACACTGAGAACCTCTGTGCGAAAAGGGGCAGACGTGAGTATGTGCGGCCAGCTGATCGGATATGAAGATGAACCTACTGCTCTTTGGTAACTGGATAAAGTAAAACTTCTTGCACTCCTTGGGCCGCGTGACGTGCGCAGGGATGAAGGGGTACATGAAGGTCTCAAAGTTTGGCCGCCAGAACTGCGCAAGGCATTCGCCAACCTCCCAGTCGCCCGCCTCTTCGCCTTCGCCCAATCGGCCGACCGGCGCAAGCCTCTCGTCCAGCCGCGCCTTGAAGCCCTCGACCTCGTCGTCCTCGGGCCGCAGGTAGTCGCCGGGCAGCTTGAAGAACGCGTTTGCGATCTGCAGCATCAGGATATGGGGGTGGTTGTGCTCGTGGCAGACGAGGATGCCCTCGCACGTGCGGCGCATGCCATGCTCGTTGAAGTGCTCCTCCAGGCGCTTTAGGCGGGCGATGACGGACGGGTCCTCCTCGGGTTGGGTCTCCTTGACGCCAAATGTGTAGTTGGATAGCGGATACAGCGTCACCTTCTCGGGCTGTTTGGCGTTGAACGGCAGCGGGATGATGGGCGGCGACCCCGATTGCAGGGCCGAGGCCGGAATGGTTGACATGCTGGGAGGAGTGTCGGCCGCAGTGGAGGAGTAGCCAGAAGGTGAAGGTGATGCTGCGTCCCCCCGAGGTTTCCCTATATGCTGGATGGAATATTGGTGAAATGGCGTTGATTGCCAAAGGAGAGGCAGGCACGCGCAGCTGGGCCGGGCTCCACCAGCTGGCAAGGCTATGGGGGCAGAATATCGGGAACCTTGTCAGGACGGTCCCGATTGAGAAAGGCGGTGTGAGCTTTGACCAGCCACATGCTCCAGCCACAGTTGGAGGAGCTCTGGATCTCTGATCGATGGGCGGATCGTCGCCAGCCCTCAGCCACCAGCCTCAGCTCGTATTCCAAAGCCCATGATCTCACATGCTTATCACTCAATCACTCTTGACTCTGGATGATGATTGGTTTCTCTAGTATCAGTGTGTTGATGAGTCGCGTGCTGAATCTCGATGCTGTCCACGATAACAAAGCTGAGCTGCGTATGTGCCTACTAGTATCTACTAGGTATGTAGGTGGCATTACGTTGTCTCCCGATGTAGGAGCCTGGATGGCTTTCAGTGGCGGCGGGACAATGCCAACACTACTTTCTGGCGTGGCATCAAGTGCGAGTCAAGCACGAGCACTATCCATCAGTATCTACTACTACCTAGGTAGGTAGTAGGTCGTAGTACGAGTATATGGCCGTAAGTACGTAGGGCCAAAGATACCACATGACAGGCAATCGGTTGTACTCTAAGGCTGTAAGAGCCCATAAGTTGTGCTACTATTACTGTACGATACACTTGGTGATGAACATGGATGGTCTCTGTAAGTCAAATACCTACAGAGCCTACCTTTGGGTCTCAATGCGGAAGCTCCGTCTTACTTTGTGCTTCATACGAGTACACGTAAAAGCAAGGCATGGGCGTGTTGCATCACCACAGCCACACCGACAGACACTGCACGATTGTACGACTGTCCATACTCGTACGCCATACGTCCAGAGCTCGAATGGATGGCTGTCTCGCGTGCTGCCGAATGGGTGAGGGGATGGTGGACCAGCAGGGGCAGATCTGCAGCATGATGCATGAGCAGCACCCCAAACCCCTCTGTATCCCACGCCTTGCCCACGCCTTGCCCACGCTGATTCAGGCCCCGTTGGGCGGACGGAGGGCTTGGCCCAGGCCTCTCTGGTGGTCTGGAAGCATCCTGGAATATCCGGGCAACCGGGGTCCGAGAGGGTGGTCTGCCTGATGCCACATCCAGCGACGAGGGCGATGCGACGCCAGAAATGCCGGGTGGTTGCTCCATTTGCCCAGTCATCCCAACCACGGCGTTTTCTCCCGAGGGAGGCATATCGTGTAAGACCACCTGCCCACCACCCTCTGCCAGCAGCAGCAGCAGCAGCTCACACACACAACCGGCTGGACCTTGGTCCAACGCGGCGACTGCGCCGGGCGAGCGTGGTTGGCGCGATGCCGCAGACGATATCCGGTTCAACTGCCAGGTAATCTGTGCCTAGCGTAAGCCCCCTCAGAGGCAACGGATCAGAACGCCCACGGGTTGGTTGCCCTTGCAGACAGTGCCTGTTGTGATTCTCGTATTCCGAGAAGCAGTACCTGGGTAAGTAAGGTAGGTACCATAGGTATCATTTCGTGCCAGGTCGGGATGGACATGAGGGAAGGACACCTGGAGTGCACGATCGACGAGGTTAATTGAACAGGTAAATATTGGTTGATAGTAACAGAAGCTCTCTCTTGCCCGGCCAGAGAACAAGAGACGAGGTCACGGGCAGGGCCAGAGCGTGGGTGGGGAGGGGGGGGGAAAAGCGGCGCTATGTAAGTCCAGCATTGTGCCTAAGTGAAATCCACCCCAGGCCGCCCAGAGATCTACAACCTGCTTCGGCCAGGTCAATTCCTCTCTCCAACGTCAATAACTGCCCGCGATCCGATTCTTTTTCTGGCCACGGTGCATACAGTTGCAGCCAAAAAGCTTGTCGGCTCCAAATCAGCGGCCGCCCCTCGGATCCCCGCCCTGCCTAGCGTCATGGGCAGATCAAGGCCATTGACACGCTCCAGTCCGCTTGCAGCCTCTTGTTAGCCGCAATGGAGGCGACGTTGCTCAGCAGCCTCCACACCAAGCTGGATGACTTGGAGGGCAAGATGCGAGCCTACCGCTGCGACCTGCTCTCCGACTTCCAGCGCTACTACCACGATCTGCTCGTCGGCGTCTCTCCCAGCGTCGCATCCAGCGTCCAGCGCGCCATTGTCCAGTCCTTTGCCAACTATCCGACGCTCCGCCCCGAGCTCGAGCTCGAGGCCGCTGTCGCTGACTCACAAGCGCCTCACCCGGCTTCATCCCAGCAGCCCGCCGCCCGTAACGAGCCTCCCGGCACTCCTACCATCACTTCGCGCGAACGCGAGACGGAGCTGCAGGGCCTGTTCACGCCGAGCTATCTGCCCCTGCTGGACAGCTCGCCTCCGTCCAAGTACGACCCCCGACCGGCAGCTCCCTCGCCTGGTGACTCGACGGCCGCGGCCACGGCTTCGACCACGGCCACGCAGACGACGGCTGCCGACTCATTACCGCCTGCAATGGCACCACCAGCTACCGGCAGCGGCAGCGGCACTGCCACCAATCATGGTATCACCGAGGGCGGCCTTGCAACCGCAGGCAACGACACGCCGCCCGCAGACCCTCAGGCTCCTAACGAGGCGCACCGCCTCGTCAGGACCGCTACCGAAGAGTCAACCTCGTCTGTCAACTCGGACAGGAGCGACGCCAAGGCCAGGAGAAGTGCCCTGCGACGCTCATCTAGTACATCTAAGCCGGCCCAGAGCCCAAGGCGAGTTCGCTTTGAGGTTATGGGAACAGAGGTGTTGCCGACGTCATCGCCGCAACAGGTCGAATTCCTAGGTCCCGTCGCATCACCGCCGGCCTTGGAGGACGATCCAATTGCCTCTGGCATGATACTGGGCGACGACATGGACTGGGAGCCCCCAGTCCGGAAGAGCTCCTCCACAGAGGCCTTGCGAGCTTTGTCGAGAGCGCCGGCGGAGGAAGGCACTGTCTGGACTGTCGTGAATCCTGATACGGACGAGGCGCCATCACATCCGAACAACACCGCCAGGATGCCTCCTGGGAAGCCTACCTCTGCCGAGCTCATCACACCTACAGTAAACCACCATACATCAACCATTCCATCGAGAGCTGCGCAAGCCAGCAACGCGACATCGTCATATCCCGATGACGTCAACCATCGCGGGTCAGGAAACAACGATGATGACGGCAACTCTTCAGACGACGAAGACGACTATCTAGCCATGCCTAAACGCAACTCTCTCGGAGTTGGGAAGTCTGCGTCTGCCTCACATCCCCAATTGCCCCCAAAGAGAGCGGTCAATGGACACTCAGCTGCGGCATCGTTGCCGAACAGATCGATCATCAGCTCTAGCAATGCCAGCAATCATCGGGAGAGAAGCAATCCACCTCCTCGTGTAGATGAAACCCTGGTCGATGATGGGGACGATGACGATGAGCTCTTTGAGTTTGAACCTGGCGGCCTTAGTGCTCCGCCAAAGCCCCGCGAAAGACAGCCTCCCCCGCCTGACGACGACGACGACGATGACGAGCTTTCCGATGGATCTCAAGATGACGTGCCCAGCATGGACCGACCCAGCCATCAGTCTCTCTATTCAACTTCGCCGGCTGTTCCCATCATGCGACCGGCACGGTTTGACAACTCCACGTCCACCGTGTCTAGGTTTCAGCCTGGGTCCCTTGGATCATACAAGGGCCGTCCCGTCATCATGCCTGTAGTGCGCAACCCGGAGGTGCATGCTCGGGCGGCTTCCTTGGGCAACTTTAACACTTTCGTGGGCGGTCTGGATGGTCGAAGCGGTATGGACGAAGCAGACCTCAGCAGTTTCCGCGCTAGTTTTGTCCGATCCGGCTTCACTGGGACGCCTCGGAGTTTTACTGAGCGTTTCATGATGGAGGAGGCTCAGGCACAAGCACAGGCGGACAAGGAAGAGAATGGTTCCGCCCAGTGATGCACTTTTGGGTATATACGGGGCTTGCTCGGCGTCTATCGTGTCTCGTAGGCAGAGGATTGGTTTCCTTATCTCAGCTCACTGAGCCCCATTGTGGGTAAGGGTTTCGGACTACTATCAGGAAATGGAAAGTCGGATGGCGTTGATGTGCTGCGAGGGACTCATACGGCCTCTTATTTGTTTTCTTATGTATTTCTTATGCATGTGTGCGTCTGGGTTGATGACAAGGTCTATATGAGCACGGCGGAGGGACGGGCGATATTATCCATACCTCTTCACACACAACTTCTTCTTGCTGCTCTCTGCATGTGTTTCGACTCGTGGCCGGTTCAAACTTGAGGGTATATGTAAACATACTTAGGTAGTCATAGCTGGGACAAGCCCTGGAAGATGCAAATATGGATTGAGGGTGTCAAAATTCATTCATTTGCTGTATAAAATTGTCCCAAGATACAGAGGCATCAGCGCTTGCGAGGTCTTGGGTGTCTTGGATCTGAACAGCCGATCCCCGGGATAAAGTGGGTGGTGTGAGGTGTGGATTCGGTTTGGCGGGGTTGAAGAAGCTATCGCTCTATCGAGGTTATGATGTAAAGGCGTCCACGGCGAACTTCTCGTCATTCAAGCATCCATACCATAACTTGCAACATTTCCCCATTGTCCCAGCCAATCTCAAGACGAAATAGCAGCAATTCCAAGGTCAAAATGGGCGGCATAAACCTCGAAGTCTTCAAGGTAAGGTTCCTCTTCTTGTCACCAAAACCCCAGCAATGACGGCAAGTTTTGGCTGACTTCTTGCTTTCCTTTTCCTCCCGTGGATAGTTCGGCACCTATCTGCTGTTCCCTATCGGAATCATGTACTACTTTGGAACAAACCTGGACAATCGATTCACCGTCCACGACTTTTGGCCCAAGCCCGAGGAGTGCAACAAGCTGCCGCAGGATCGAGAGGAGATCAAGGCCGAGTACGAGAGAATCGTGGCGCGACAGAAACTCCGGCAGGCTCTGCTGGAGGAGAAGCAGAGGCAGCAGGCTCAACAGGCGCAGAAGAACGAGAGCTCTTGATGGTATCGCGCAAGATGACTTGGGGCGTTGATACAGGGTGAAAGGGGAAGAATAAAGAGCTGGGCTTGTATGATATGAAGTGTGTGGATGGGGCGCTACGGCGAAGATGGGACGAATTGCATGGTTGGCGTTCAGGTTGAAGTTAATGGGAACTGGGAAAGGGGAAATTCTACTCCAAAATCTATGGATCTGTGTTTGTTTGTACAATTCACGAGTGGGGTTCAGTGTCTATATATCTATGTGCCTCTCCAGCTTGTCCCATTCCTCGTCCGTAATGGCTCCCTGTCGGATGTTGGCGAAGAGTGCCCTCACCTCGGTGTACTCTCGCAGACCGGAAAGCAAGGTGTTTAGGCTTTCCACCAGCTCGGGCGAGTCGACATCGGCCTTGGTGTCTTCATTCGCGGCCCACATGATCTCGGACTCGACGACCTCGAGCTCGAAGCGCTTGGAGATGGCCTCCGTGATGGCCATGAGCTTGGATGGCTCCGTCCAGATGACGTAGCCGCCATCAGGGTGCTCTTCGACATCTTCGGTGCCTTCATGCTCGATTGCCTCTTCCAGGACATCTGAGAGAGAAGGGCCGTCGTCCCTCGGCTTGAACACGGCTCGCCCGCGTCTGGAGAAGTAGAATGCCGTCGATCCCACTAAGCCGCCAGCCTTTTTGACGACAAACTTGAGGTCGTGTAAGCTGCGCGTCTTGTTGTCCGTTTCAATGTCGGCAACCAGGGCGATGTTGGGGGGCATGAGGATCTCTAGTGTCATGGGCTCGAGCTGTGCGCCGGTCGTGGAGCGACCTTGGCCTCGTGCAATGGCGCCCTCGATCAATGCCTTTGGCACGCTTGCTGTCTACGAGTTAGGACGACAGTTGTGACATTAATTTGAGAAAAAAAATATAGATTGATAGCTTGTACCTTTTGTTGCGGCCGCAACTGCGTTTGCGAGCTGTGGATTGAATCTGATGTCTTCGCCGTACACTTTGATACGTCAATCGTTGGAGGCAGTCCGTCTAAGAAGCTTATTAGAAGGAACACTCACTCTTTGAATACATGGTGATGAGCTTTGTGAATGAGACGCGCTCAGACATCTTCTTCTTGTCTGTGACTGCTTTTATGTGCTTCGTCTTGGACCATTTGTTGTGTCCAGCGGACTGAGACGCCGTCGCTCCGAATGACCGTGAGCATGACGGGCACACTTGTACAAGCAAGCGGCGAGGAGTGGCCGAGAGACAAGATCTTGTCATGAGCGAGAATGTCTTTGCGGTGGCCATTGCTACTGAGTCCAAGCCGAAGCACCAGTCGCAGAGATGGTCGATTAAATAGACGTCTTGCAGTTGCTCCAAGTCTTGGACGCTCAGTCAGTCTATCCCTCCCCCCAGATGCCTCAGGGTTCAGCACGCGGACAAGATCGCATGTTCCTGGATTTGCGCCGGGGAAACAATCTTCCCTGGAGCTCTGGCAAGAGGGCTGCCAGTTCTAGAGCCACTGCCGCCTGCTGATTGGCCATGGCACCACCGCTAGTGTCGATGCCCATCATCACCAGCTGGATACAGGTACTACCTAGTAGTACTACACATACATAGCTGGCCATCCCCCTATCAAGGACATCACAGCAACGGCGAGACGAGACGAAGCGAAGCGAAGCGAGACGCCATCGAACGACACACTCGACCAGACGGGGCTCCCCTCTGACTGACGACGCCTGGATCCCCCCCCACGCCATGTCGTCGCATGAGCCCGAGGCCGGAGCCGCTGCGAGCGGTCCGACCAGCACCGCCGTCGACTCGGCCACTGCCACCCCGGAGCTGGATCTCGCCAAGCTTCAGGCCCTGCCCGCCGAGCAGCAGGACCTCTTCCTGCTCACGTTCGTCTCGAGGCTGCGGCAGCACGTGCTGAGCCTGTCGGCGGACGACTGCACGGCCCAGCAATTCTACCTCAAGCGCGAGATATTCCAGATCATCAACCTCTCCGCCCCGCAGCCGTCGCGCGTCATCCGAAACAACCTGGGGGCCTGCCTGGCGCACATCTTCGGCAAGGGCGACAGGAAGCTGCTGTTTGAGACGATCAACGACCTCGTCGCGATTGCGGCCGGCGGCAAGTCCAAGTCGGATGGCGAGACGCGCGCGAAGCATGCGGCCGCGAGCTGCCTGGGCGATGTGTTCGCCTCTGCGGGCGACAGCGCCATTGGCCTGCATCAGCTGGCCTGCACGACGCTGCTGAAGCTGCTCAAGTCGGCGTCCAACAATGCGGGCATCAGGGCGGCGGTGTTTTCCGCCCTCGAGAAGATTGTCACCATGGTCGAGGGATCCATGGATGAGTACATCTCGAGGGACGTGTGGAAGCAGGCTAGGAGCCATGCCTCTGCCGACAAGGGAAGCCTCGTCGTGGTCTCTGCGTGTCGGTGTCTCAAAGCCTTGGTGCAGCACACCACATACTTTAACAACTCTACCGATTTTGACAAGCTGGAGACGGCCATGTTCAAGGCTGCCGACTCATCATCCGCAAAGGTGCGCAATGCCGTGGCGAGCTGCTTTGCCGAGGCCCTGGTGCAGGGCTACTCAGAATCCAGCGCAGCGGAAGCTGCCACAAAGAACAAAAAGTCCAAGACGAAGCTGAAGCGGGCTTCCACGCATCCCAACATTGCAGGAGATGAAGACGAGATCCCATCCCGCTCGTCGAGCCCGGCTCCTGGCGCAAAGCGGAGTCAAGACCTAGCTCTGTCACTTCAGGATATACTGAAGATCTTGGCCGGCCACTACGTCAAGGCTGCAACTTCAAACAGAGCTCGTACCGCAATCGGGGTGTGTTACGGCAAGCTCTTTCGCCGGCTCGGAGAGCGGACTGTGCAGACCAACTATCTCAGCATCGTGGAGAGTTTGTCTGTCGATGTCCTCGGCCATCCAACCATCAACAACAACCGCTATCGCCTTTTGATATCACGGAAGATCATAGATGCCATTATCCAGGATGTGATTGGACGCAAGATCCTGGGAGAATCTGGCCAAACATCTGCGGCGGAATCATTGATCAGCGGCGTGCTGAAGAACTATCCCCAGGCCTTGCCCGAAAGGCCAGAGCCTCAGAAGCATACTCTGGTCGTTGCTCTCAACGCTGTCGCATCGCTGATCAAGTCGCTGGGGTCGGCTGCAAACAGCTTTGCAGAGTCGTGTCGAGATGGGCTTTTGCAGGTTCTCCAGCACCCAAGCTATTCGGTCCAGGTGTTTGCTTCGCATTGCATGAAGACATTCGTCCTTGCATGCCCTCAACAGCTACTTCCCTGCCTTTCGGTTTGCATGAACAGCCTCAGCCGAGAACTGTCGCTGCTGGGATCGGGCCGCAACTCTCCCAGGCGCTGTATCGGGTTCGCGCATGGGTTGGCGGCCACTCTGAGTGCCAGCCCTTCTCGTCCCTTGCACGGCTCTCTCGACGTCAACAGCCGAGTGCTGACAATGGCAACCAACTTGCTCAAATCGAGCAGCCAGTCCGAACTGCGGGTCTCGAGCACGCAGATTCAGGTGGCTTGGATTCTCATCGGTGGTCTCATGTCCCTGGGTCCAAACTTTGTCAAGATTCACCTGTCGCAGCTGCTTTTGCTGTGGAAGAACGCCCTACCAAAGCCCCTGGCCAAGGATAACACTTCGGCCAGAAGCCTCCTCGAAGCATCCTTTCTTACCCACGTGAGGGAATGCGCTTTGGGTTCAATTCTAGCCTTCCTCCAGTTCAACAACCGGCTCCTCACGGTCGATGTCTCCAAGCGTATCGCGGCGATGCTCCAAAGCACGACCGCCTTCTTGAAGACGCTGCCCTCCAAGAAGATAACAGAGGACATCTCGCAGAGACTGACTCCCGCTCTCCAGCTACAGGATCTCGACAGAATGGTGCAGCGCAGAGTTTTGCAGTGCTACATCAAATTAGTCAACCTGAGCCCTGCAGGGGGCAGCGAAGCCCTCTTGCAGTCGAATCTGCTGACTCTTGCGATATCACTCTTTGCAGACCCCGATAACTACACACCCAACTCCTTGAGCGCGTCAATAGCTAATGCTGCCGGCACCTTTGAGTCGATCTGGGATGTTGGCGATAATACAGGCTTTGGAATAACGGGTCTCGTAGCCGGGTTCAACGTCAAGCCGCTACCTGGGCAGAACGAAAACGCCATACAAGAAGATGAGGTTCGAAAGAGCGATTCGGAGGCTTTCATTCACAGTCTATTGCAATCGCCCGTCTGCGGCAGCCTTGAGCATGATGCCTCGATGCTGTACATTGGCGGTATAGACGACGGCACGACAGATCCTGACCCCCCTGCTACCGAGGTCATCAACAACGCCATCCAGCTATTTGCCTTTGCATTTCCGTTGACCCCGGCCAAGGTACAGGAAAGCATCCTAGAGCAAATCAGAACCTTTGCGTCTGCGGGCTCTCTCCAGCGAGATCTTGGTCGCAAAGCAGCCATCAACGCCAACCTCGCAACAGCCGTCTTGTGCACAATGAGAGTTGCCGTGAAGGAAACGAGTTCGCCCTCGGGAGACATTTCCAACATCGCCGTTGAGCGGTTGTTGCAGGATATTGTGCGAGACTTTGTTCTCGATCCCGATCAGTATGTCCGCAGCCTCGGCTATGCGGCCGTGGCAAGACTATGCAATGTGTACGGCAACGCTTTTACGAATCAGGAGATCAAGTACCTTGTCGACACGATCGTTGGAAATCGGGAGCCCAGCGCAAGAGCCGGCTGCGCAATGGCTTTGGGTGCAATCCAGACCAAAGTGGGCGGCATGGCGGCTGGCTACCATCTCAAGACGATCCTGGGCATATTGATGTCCCTTTGCAACGACCCTCATCCGGTGGTCCATTACTGGGCCCTTGAGGCGTTGTCACTGGCTTCAGATGCTGCGGGATTGAGCTTCGCCACCTACGTGCCAAGCACCCTGGGAATGCTCGCTCAGC